GGCTCTCGTTCTTAACCCCAATCTTTCTACCACAGATGGTTGAATAAAACTCCTCGATGCCCCTGTATCCAATAAACCCTCGCAACGATACCCTGTTATCTCCAATAGCAACACTGCCGTTCTTCCACCACTACAAACTCTACATAACGTCCCATGATGATTCGCTAGTCCATCTTTCTCCCACAACCAAGGCGGTAAAATCATCTCTTCTCCTATTATCGCTCCTACTTCCTCGCTCTTCTCCCGATATTCACACTCATCCGTTCCACTCCCGTTCCCGTTTGGTTGTTCTCTGTTTCCGTTCAACAACATCACATGCCTCCCATTTCGCGTTATTGATTCGTTCCCGTTTAATTCGCTCGTCACTCTCGCTCGACCACTTCGTTGTATAGGATTGGAGATCTTTATGGCGTTTGGGCTTGTAACGACCTGTCCCCCTCTGCCATTTCTATGTTCTGGCCTAGAACACTTGTCTCCTTCAGTGCCTAGGCCTTCTCGTTTGACCGGTTGACTCCCTCTTTCATCTCCGTACTCGTTCCCATATTTACTCTCTGACTTCCTACCATTATTCGTCGCACAGTCGCACAGTCTCTTGCATAATGGTCCTTTCCTCCGCACTTAGAACAAGTTTCTCCTCTTCTTCTTATTACTCCATTACGCAGAGGGCAGTCCCTTCCCATATGTCCCCTTCCTGTACACTCATAACAACGTATCACATCTCGTTCCCCTTCTGTCGCTGCTCTGACTGATGGTGTAACCCTTCGCGTTACACCATTCGAGCCTTCCGCTTTGCCGGTATTCCTCTCTCCCTCCACCTTGGGATTGCCATCTGCCGTGCCCGATTGCCCTTCCACGCCCTGCATTTCCCGCACCGCGCGTTTTCTCTTTGATCGCCACGCATTCATCGGAACAACGTACTCTCTTAANCTCTCTTAACGCCTTTGCTGCTTCATGCCAAGTCGGGAATTCCCTCTTCCCACGTTTCGTCAACTTATCTCCTATGTCCTCAGGCAATCCCGCTAGATAAAATATAGCCAATTCTTCCTCGGGCATCTCTTCTCCTGTAATCACTATATCCGTAAACGCATTAGTATACTCATTATAGTCTCCCTTCCATACATTTTCCTTCATTTTAAGTATCATACTATCCCGTGGTAAAACGCGGAATCTCTCACAGAGCCTTTCACGTACTAGGGACCAATTTGTCATATCTATCCCAGATCGATATATATAATCCCATTGCTTAACAGCCCGTCCGGTTAAATACTTCCTCACCAATAATCCCCATTGATCCTCCGAAATTTTCATTTCTCGAAACTCTTGCTCCGTCAAACTAAGAAAAGTCCTCAGATCGGCCCCATCTTCAGTCGCAGCAATTTTCGATCGGAATATTTGCTCCGCTACCGATTCGCTCTGATTCCTCTGACCTTCCCCCATCCCTTCTCGACTCTTTGCCTTCATTTCCTTAGCAATTACTCGTCCTTCATCCCTCATTTGTCGGAAGAATGAAGCCAACTCCTTCTTCCAATCCATAGTCGACTCCGCGTTGCTAGGCATTACGCCTGTCCCCTTCACTTCCGTCCCCTTTTTCTCCGCCACGTTGTTAATCTTCCTTTTTGCGGAAATCTCCTTCCTAGACTTAGATTTTCGCGTTTCCGAATTTGTTTTCTTAGAATTCTTGGTGGTGACTGCCTTCTGATCTGCCATTTTCTTCCGACTAGCCAAGCGGAGTTAGTCCCTGCCGTCGTTCGTTTCCGNACTGCCTTCTGATCTGCCATTTTCTTCCGACTAGCCAAGCGGAGTTAGTCCCTGCCGTCGTTCGTTTCCGTCGTTTCCCGTTCGTCGAACCCGACTCTCCGGTTATTCGGTAAGATAAGAAGAATTTTTAAGAGTTCAAGTAGGTAACTACGTTTCAATGAGATTGGAAACTCACCTTCAAAGGTTTCCCGGAACGGCCCCCAAATGTAATGACCTCTGGGACAACTAACAACCGTGTTCCCCTACGAAACTGAGAAATGCATAAAGTTTTCAGCAGTACTGCGATTAATTAGTCAAAATTTCGGTTATTGGAGTAGTTTCAAGGGTTTTCGTTTGAGAAAATATCTGCTTGCCCCTTGGGCCCATGACCTTCCGCTAGCAATCCCTCAACGGGTCGCTAGTCGCGGGGGACGCTCGTCCCTGGCAACGCCGCACCGGCGCCTCCTTCTCTCTATAAGACTGCTACTTTAGCAATTGGTCTGCCCTATTCGTCCCACTATTCTAAATTAGCTTATATTTGCAATTTAGGTCGTACTTATTCTATCTCTCTGTTCTTATTGCCGCTAATTTAGTTTTCTATAGTAACAGCACTTGCTTGTAGTGCTAGCGCACTACAGCATGGTTCACCCGGGCAGGTTTGGGCAAGGGTCCAATCCCAACACGGTTGGCATCAATCATTGGTGAAAGGAAAAAACCACAAGAAAATTAAAAACCTTTATTCTACTCATTTATTTATATTAAAAAAAAACCCATTTTCTTTCTTAAACAATATCTCTTTCGATTTCTGCTGTCCCCTTCAGGAAATTTGTGGTTGATTATGAGCCGCTCACAGAGAAGGGGTCGACGCACGGTCTGGAGCCTCGGCAAGCGGAACCCAGCTCTCTTTCGGCATCTAATCCGGTGGAAGTGCATTCTCTCCGAAAAATAATCAAGAAGAATGCCTTCGGCTGTGTCGTCCTATGCGATATGATGGGCGCCGG